AGTTTGATGATGGGAAACAATCTGCATATAATTCACGAAAAGCAATAGGAAGTGCTTCATATGCAAGTTTCAATGCATCTTGGAAAGAGCCATGTATGCGTGCATTGTTAGCTTGATTTACTAACTCCGAACTACGATACGTTGAAGGCAACATAATTTGTTGGCGAAACTAAATGAGAGACTTCCAAGTTATCTCTAGATGTATGTACTCAAATTATTCTTTGAAGATTGTATGTTAACTTAGTGATATAAATGCTTATAAACTAAAGAAAAGCATATTTAGTTATTACAACGTAGATGTTAACGCTTTTGATAAGATGACTCGAACGCCACCCCTAAATAACTGTGGCAACTATAATGAAATATAACTCCATTATTTTTTTTACATTTATTTCTATTGATTATTTGTGCCTTTTAACCATATCTTTTATTCCCATATATGTCTTCTCATATATGCTGTATTACAAATGCAACCAAACTAATATCCCTTTTTTTTGCAGCACAGACTATTTTATTTTCTGGTCTGTGTACAATTAAGTCGGATTATTTTTTATTTATTTATTTGCGAATCGGATTTGTAATTCGTAAAATGACCGACGGAAGGAATAACTACACTATACCCATATCTGAAAATGAAGTTTCTTGTGAAGTATTCGATATTTCTGAAGAAGATTTAGCATTAAGTGCATGGTGCGGTCACATATATGTTTTAAGAACAAGTTGTGAGCCTATGTTATGTAAAACTGTCTTAATATACGTTGATTCATCAAATACTATAAGAGATGTCAAGGAAAAATTTTTAAATATTGAAAATATCACTCATACAAGTACAGCACGTCTTTTTTTTAATGACATCGAACTTAGAAATGACTACACTTTGCTTGATTATGGTATCCAACCGTTGTCAACCCTTAACATAGAGTTAAGTATCAAGATACAAGTAACTATACAATTTCAGATATGCGAAATTGAGCTTGAAGTCGAATCATTTAATACAATTTTGGACGTAAAAGAAACAATTCAAAGAAAGGAAGGTACTCCGTCAGACCAACAATGTCTTGTCTTTAATGGAGAAGAACTTCAGAATGATCGCAAAATATGGGATTATGGTATTCAACAAGGTTCTATAATAATGGTGAGAACACTTGCACGTGGACGAAGTGGAAAGATCAAAGTCGAAATGCCTAATAAAACTATATCAATTGATGTAACAAAGACGGATACCATTGATAAAGTTAAGCGTAAAATATATAATAAAAAAGGGATTCATTATGATAAACAACAGTTAATGTTTAATGGACAAGTTTTAGAGAATCATCGCACTTTATCTGATTATCAAATTCGTAGTGGTTCCACGATTACATGTTTACCCAAAGATTACACTTATTTCTTCCATGCAAAATTCACTGATGACGAACTAAAAAATGGAATGTTACATGGAAGAAATTGCACTTGCAATTATATTCATTCTGCAGAATTGGTTTTTTCTTTGAAAGCCACCTGTATCCGCGAAGATACTCGTACCTTGCTAGGAATTGAATTTGAAAAAAAGGCAGGATATGGTTTACATCTGAATGGTTTTGACGGAAGTGATCTCAACCATGAAGGTGAAGCTTTGTATCGTGATTCTTGGATGGTACATATTATGCCAAATAATTGTGATAAACTTATACTAGAAGAGGTTGATCCCACCACAGATCCTTTTTTAAATCCATCAACTGAAATAGAAGCACGAGATTGCCGATCTATAACTTTTGAACCTTCTTCGATTAGTGCATCTTTGTCACACGAAAAGACCAGAAAAGTTAGTAGACCTCCTTTTATCCTATCTGTAAATCCTGGCAGGAATTATGTATCCTGGATGTGGAATTTGAAAACCGCAGGTCTCGAAGGTGGTGAATATAATAATCCTAAGGACATTTTTCTTGGTCGAATAGGAAAAACAAAACAGTTGCATGATCAGGCTAAGTACAACGCACCTTTACCTACAAAAGCCTTGTGGTCAGCTCCTCCTCAGTTCAAGGATACCATTACATTTGACGTTATAATTGAACAAAGATTTTGTAGCATCTCTAAGCCTTCCACATTTCTTCCAATCAGGTAAGTTATTGTTGCAACCAGCTATTTGATTCTCTAATTAAATTCAATTGACATTTTTTTTTCTGAATTCAGTAGGTGCAAAATTACGAGATGGAAAAAGATGTTTAAGTTCCCAGTGAATTGGTCACAGTTATAGAAGGCCGTATTATTTTTAAAGATATAGATTAGCTGAGAACCGAATTATAAAATTACTAATAATAAGTTAGAAAAGATTTCCCTAACTGAAGGTAATGATAAAAAGTATAGAAGTACAGTGAAGTCTCCATAAGTGCAACCTCTTTAAATACAACATCTCTTTAAATGCAACTTTGAACCCTGACTCAAATATATATTTCGATCTCTATAATTGCTATTTTTTTCGTTGGTTCTTAAATGCATATTATCTGGTCCTTAAAAGTTGCATTGACTGCATAAAAGTAAGGCATTAAAAGTTAAATCGGGCAACTCTTAAGAGAAATAAGACTTCTATAATTAAGTAAGACAGAGATGGTATCTTGAACAAATAAAATATTACAAATTAAATTGTGCTCGATCGAGTTAGTGTAAATTCGTGTTTCCAAATTTGCTAATTTTCAAATAAATCGTTATTAAAAATTTTTACACGCATGAGGCTGAAGATGAAGCTGGAAATTAAGAACCTCGGTTTGAAAATATAAACCCTACCAAAATCCACTTATACATTTTTATTATCAAAACTATAAAACAAAGGCTCTCCAAAAAATTTTGAAAATTTCATAAAGTATTTAAAATTTCCAGCTTCAGCCATTTTCACGACAATAATTATAGTTGCCGTCCAAATAGTTATTACTATTAGTCCAAACAGGTTGTATCTGAAATTTTGTCCCAAATCCTAATTCATAAATTTAGAACAGGTTGAGTTTAGCTAGTCCCAAAATATGATTAATACCCTTAGGAAGTTCTAAAGTCTAGGTTTGGACGGTAACTATAATAATAATAATAAAAGTATTTATTATATACTTCTTTTTGTGCCAAGATCTCATATTTAACTATTTATAATAAATTAGAACAATTGGAATATTATTGGCTTAAGCTGAGGGGAACGAAGTGGAAGCCTTCAAACTACAACATCATTTCAGAAATGTCTGACTTCTCATTAAACTAGTCTAGTTCGGAATTCACTAATCAAGAAAACAAATATTTAAATACATACATATAACTAAAATTTCGTGTTGAACAATTTTATTTAGAAGTCAAACCGTAATTGGCGCTACGATAAAATATAGTGAATTTTAAAAATACAATAATGTAATAACAAGATTAATGGAAGAACAAATTTTGTTTTCTTTGGAGTTTGTTGTTCGTATACAAAATCATGGATGTTATAATCTTATTCCCCCGACTACTACAGTATTATGTCACGGGCATTATGATTATTAATACAATAATAGTAAAACATCTAGCGCTACTGTTTCTAAAGTCCATAATTAAAAATGTTTTTATTGTTTAATTGTTACAGCTTATCCTCATGACGTCTTGCAAAATTGACTGGTATTAGAAGAAAAATCAGACACTATAATTATATTAATTACCGTATTTACACGAAATATCGCGCACATGTGCGTTATTTCGAGGAGATGCGCGTTATTTCGAGTACGCGCATGGGCGTTATTTAGAGGTAAAAGTCTAATTTTTCAAAATTAAATTTTCGAAATAATACCCATGCGCGTTATATATAGTGATGTCGAAGAAATTAATAGCGGTCTATGAAGATCCTAAGAACCGGACTGGACCAAATTTATATTTTAACTTCCTTAGTAATGATATTTAATAAAAACAATTATTATTTTCTAACCAATAAAGTATTCTTTTTATAAAAGTTGATTAGTTACATTCTATTAAAGTCAGCCATTATATTTTAAACCATAATAATGTTGAACCTGATTTAGGTTCATTTCTGGTTATTGAACCTAAAATTTAGATCAAGTGAAGCGGGAGCTAGATATCCCTAAAATTTAGTAGTGTATGACTTGAAGGTCCTTCACCTCACTCCCCTTGCTCCAGTCAGTTAATTTTTTAATACCTTCAAATGGTATCAAGGTCATTTATCAACATTAGTATATGGGGTGTGCGTTATTTCGGGACGCACATGAGTGTTATTTTGAAACAACTATGCTATTTTAAGGAAATACGATTTTCAATGTGTGTTATTTCACATAAATACGGTAACTGGGGATTTTGAACCAATGAAACTAGTGATTTGAACCGGCTAGGACTTTAATCAGATAACCAACCTGAACCAAACAAATTCGGATAAAATGATTAAGAAATGCTTAACCGGTTAATCTGACATAATGGCTAACCCAATATAATAACCTGATATAATCGGTTGATCTGACATAATCGGTTGATCAGACATAATCGGTTGACTTGTATTCAAATTTTGTGGCTTAAAAATATGTTGTAACAGTCAAAATTTTCTCTCCCCAATGTTTTACCATCTGACATAGCACAATATTTGATTTACTTTTTATATTGTATTTTTGTATTATTTGAAAATGGGAGTGATTGTCATAATCAGAACAAAGAGAAAATCAGAACAATAAGAAAACTCAGTATGAAAAAAATTATAAAAATTATAGTAATGAAAAGAATTAAAAAAATTAGTTATTATAGTTATGAAAAGATTTATAAAAATTATAGTAATTATAAAATAGAAAAGAAGGATAAGTTACGATTTTTAGTCTGAAAAATAATGTATGTAAGTAGCAACATTTACCTTCAATAAAGACAAGCTTAGCTTTGTTTCAAAGCTCTAAGTTAAAAAAATCAGAGTATTTAACTTACAATTCACCCTAATAG